GTACGAACTGGCTCGCACAGTACGGAGCCACCATTTGGTGGCTCGCACAAGGACTAACATTTCTACTATTATGTGATTTGATTCTGGAGAAACTCAAAAGACAAAATTTGTAGGTCTTTTTGTTAGCTTTCCAAAGCATCTTGAATCACCTCATTCTAAGATCGGACGAGAGAGTTAGAGCCAAAATACCCATGGAAGTACGAACTAGCTCGCACAGTGACGAGCCACCATTTGGTGGCTCACATAAAAAACTGATATTTTGGCCATGATGTGATTTGATTCTTGAGAAACTCAAAATATAAAAGTTATAGGTATTTTCATCAACCTTACAACGCATCTCGAATTACCCCATTCTGAGATCTGACGAGAGAGTTAGAGCTAAAATACCAAAGATGGTACAAACTGGCTCGCCCAAGGCCGAGCCACCTTTTGGTGGCTCGCACAGTTCCGAGCAACCAGACGATGGCTCACGCCCGGAAACGTCGAAAACGCTTTTTTTGATAGTTTTTTGGCATTCTTTCGTTCCAGAGGTTCCCAACTGACTTGATATTATATCTACACATGGTTAGGCCCTTGTCAACTGAGGATATGGTCAAATCCTTTATTCTTATCCAAATACCTTACATCCGAAGCCCTATAAATACGAGCCTAGGGTCTTCTTTCACAGGGGGCGAGTGTAGGCTGTCTAAAAAATCACAATGGATAGCTGATCCTCATCAAGCCCCAACAACGGAAGTTACAATCAGACGACTTTCTTGTTACCAAAGGGAAAGCTGCAACCAAAAGATTTCCCTATGGATCGAGAAGAGATTACAAGGCAATGATTCCTTTAAATCAAGAAGAAGAATTTGTCCTTACAGTCGAAACACAAGTAATTTCCAAATCACTGCATCTGCGGCTCTACAATCGCTGCAAACACAGCCTCATATCTGAGATGATTGATCTTGATGGCTGTGACAACAACATGACTAATATTATATTAGCAACTATTAGAAGTGCTGATGAGTAGTATAATAATTTCATAAATAAAAGGTTGGACTTAGTTGGTGAGTTGCTTGGTAGAGAGCTGTGGGCAAATATTCGTGTAAGACTGTCTAAAAGTCACAATGGATAGCTGATCCCCATCAAACTCCAACAATGAAAAGCTACGATCAGATAGTTTTCATGCCAACAAAAGATAGCTGCAAATGGAGGACTTTTCACATAGAATGAGAAGAGTTACAAATCAACGACACTTCCGACAACTGATGAAAACTCTATTCAGCAGTCTTCACAATCTACAGTGAAAGTTACAACCTGACGACTTTAACACCCCACAACAACTAAAGCTAGGATTACTGAATAACGGTCCTTGCAACGCTCTGTAGGAGAGGTTACAAGTCAACTAACCCCCTTCTAAAACACATAATTCATCCCCGCGTTATAATTCTGGAAATGCAGGCGACCCCCGCGTTTCTAAGCTACAACAAGCCGAACGCGAGCGGCCCTCGCGTTTTTGATGATCAGTCAACACCCAACCTCACGTCTCAATTCCAAGACGCGAGGTTAGGGTTCTGAACGCCAAATTGGGCGTTTGACTCGTTCAAACATGAGTCGAACGGTTTCAGAACTGTTTTCCCCACGATCTGAGGAAATCACGCCCACTTAGGAGCGGATTTAGAGGGCAGTTACAACCTCTTATCCACCTATAAAATCTCAACAAACTCAAATGAGTTAAAGGCTGGCATTTTTGGAACGGAAAATCAATAGCAGAGGGGCAATAGAGGCGAATTCCTTGGAGATAGAAGATTGGAATCAAATTCAGAAGATCAAATCTAAGAGGATTCCTCAACAACAGAAGATCTGCTTGGTCATTAACCGAATTTTTGGTTCTAACAACTCGATCCACAGAGTTCTAACTCGTTCTGAGTTCTTAAACTCGTTAAGAGTTATTCATCAAACTTTCCACAGAAGTTCATCGTTCCCACTGGATAAAAGACGGTCGGATCGTCAACAGAGAGCGAATTCGACGCAAGCAATCGAAGGAGGCACTCCATCGCTACCGAGAAGAACCCAGTTTTAAACAAAGAGGAGAATCAAATTTATTCTCCTCTCTTTTGTAATCGGAATCCAAATTGTAATCGATTTTGAGAGAATACAAATCAATTTTTCTTTCAGTTCTTTTACATCGAATTTTTCCACAAACAGCGAGTTATAATCAAAGAGGACGAGGTGCTGGCTAATTGCAGAGCCAATAGCCACAAATTTCAGAGATGGTTAGCTAGATCTTGGCGATTTCCTGTGCATAAAGAGTGGATTTCGAGAGATCTGAGACCCGTACCCCCTTTCCTCCTGATCAAACTTGGTTTTGATCTCGAGAAGAGTCGTAATCTCGCTTGGTCGAGATTATCACTTCTGCGATTACTTCCTTTGTGAAGTAAGAGCTTTGAATAACTTTTCTGTCAACCGGATCTGATCCGCGACGGTCCACGGACTAACGCGTCCCCGGCACATGCAAAGTCCCCACGCAAGCAACAGGAGATAAACTGCTATTGTGTTGTTTGAAGGAATTGTAATCTTTATATTTTCATTGTGTAAGAAGATCTTATAAAAAGATTTAACTTTTTATTTATTTGAGTTTATTGTAACGGCTAAAGTTGTAATAGATTCGATGACAATGAAAACAACAATTTCTTCCTCGACGTGTCTTGATGTCGAGCCTCGTTGTGTCTTGATGTCGAGCTTCGTTGCGTGGCGAGCTTCATCTTGATGGCGAGCCTCGCTGTGTGGCGAGCCTCATCTTTGAAAATGAGCTTCGATGTTTTCGAGCGAACTTCTGGATGATGTTCGTCTTTCTTCTGGTATTTTTGTATGTCTACACAAATATTGCATGCAACATTTTCTACAAATACAATTATAGTGTACCAAACACCCCCTTGAATATCGTGGTTTGAGCTTTAGGAGATTACCCCCCCCAAAAAAAAAAAAAAAACAAAAAAAAATGTTGAATTATTACAGAATAATCACGTAAAATACGATTGAATGAAGCCAATAAAGTTTTTTTTTTTTTTGAAAAGGCTAATAGAGTTTATTAAGTGCAATACCTTTATATACTACAGTCTTATAACATTATATTCTTATTTTTAGATAAATAAATAATTTTTATCCATGGGACTCAAAAATGTTCTAGCCGAGTCGGTAAGCTAGCTATGAGTAGTACTCCAATATCTCATGTTCGGTTTTTTTTAGAGAGCACCTATAGGAATTTAATTTTCTAAAAATTGGATGGTACTGGGTACCCACTAGCCACGCCCAGGAGGTTTTTGGATCTTTCTAAAAGAGTACGCAGGAATATCCCCACCGCATATATATGGCATATGATTACTACCAAAATGCCTCTATTGTGGTTCTCACGCTTGGTTCAGGACGCCCGGCATCGTGCGGGTCTTTTCCCCCATAAGAATTGCACTCTTTTTATTTAATGCCGTGAGCTCGATTTCTCACCTTCTGATAGGAATCGAACTCTTTAATTTGTTAACGCCATGAATTCCTTTTCTCACCCAACTCCCGTACACAGTCGCCAATCAGCCCAAGGATCTCTCGCTGTTGTCCTACTTGCTACGTATCTCTACAATTTGGGCTTAATTAAAGCTCGACAGCTTCAATTTTTTTTTTAGAAGAAATTTTCACTGTAGACCCGTTCCCATATTTAATCCCTAAAACCGATCCACTTTAAAGTTATCTGTGAGAATCGATCCACTTTGAATTAATTACGGTACTAATTAGTAGGGGTTGCCAACCCCGACTAATTAGTAGCTGCAAACCTTTCGTGCTCCCTGGCCTCGCTTGTAATTAGGCTACTAATTAGTCGGGGTTGGCAACCTCGACTAACTAGTACCGTAATTAACTCAAAATGGGTCGATTATAATAAATAAATTTAAAATTGGTCGGTTTTAGGGATTAAATCTGGGATTGAGTCTACAGTGATTTTTTTTTCTTTTTTTTATTATTATAGACCCCACGCTTTCACTGAACCATACCGCACTTGCCAGTTGCGAGTTATACGTACCATCACGCTCCCTCTTACGATCAATCAGACGCCAAATTGGCATCTTCTATATTATTCCCTTACATCTTTCGCAGTTGGAAGCCGGTCCATCCAATCACCGAAATTGGTCTGAGGTCCCTCAATTCTTAATTTCTTCTAAATTCAGTCCCTTACTTCATCAAAATTGCTATTGGGTCCCCAAAAATTTTAAATTATTCTGAAACCAACCCCCCTAATCAAAATTCATTAATGTAATAATTAGAGAAATTACCAAATAAAATCTGTTATCATGGGCTATTAGCCTCCTTGGTTCTCACAATCTGTTTCAAATAAGTCTTACCAATTGCTATTTCCACACTTGATTGGAGTGAGTAAGTTTGATTTTCCTAAAAATCATATTTAAAATAGGGAAGTTATATGGAAACAACTTTTCGATTAAATTTTTTATATAAACCACCTTTTAAAGCACCTTGTCGTTGCGACCAGTCACCTCTAAATCAAGCTTTCACTAAAAATTAGGATTAAAAAAAATTCAAGTTTAAGGCAGTTGAATTGCATTCCAAAAGGTCCTAAGCACTAACAAAATGAATCGCACGCCTTGAACGTGAGCTTTTTGAGCGTAATATTGGTTTTTCGGTAAAACTTTTTGACTAGGAGGTGGTTTATTGCAACAAAAATCCACTTAAAGATGACTCGTATACAAACTTAAGGTGAAAGATGGTTTCCGTGTAATTTCCTTATTTTAAATATGGTTTCTACTGAAAAAAGCCCCATAATTTTAACATACTGTAACAATTAAGGTAACTAATTAGTAACTTCAATGATTTGACGGATTAAAATTATACTAACTTAAGAATCGAGGTACCAAATAGCAATTTGAATCATTTAATGGACTAGCTTCAGAGAATATTATGTCAGGGACTAATATAGCAAAAAGCCCACGTCGAGAATAAACACCTTTTGTCATCGCCTCCTCTTCTTGACTCCCTCCCCCCGAAACCTCGTCAACTGTTATACTTCATCACATTTCGTCGCGTCTCTCTCCCCCCTCTGATTTTTTCCTCACGCATTTATTCCTCCTTCATTCTTGGGACGTTTCTAGGGTTTTTTTTTGACGATGGGGAAGAAGAGCGCGAAGCTGCCGGTGGAGGAGGTCGACGTGTCGGCCGTCAAGTATCATCAGCCCACTACGGTCAAAGGTCACTCCTCGCTCCTAATTCCGATCGAAAATCTAGGTTTTTGGTTTATTTAGGGCGGGGGGGGGTTTCGTGATTTTCGGGTTTATTTATTTAATTATTATGATTATCAGCTCCGCATTTGATGGGATTAGCGCATAAGATGTTTGTGTGGCTGATCGAACTGCCGATCTTGGGGGCCATCATACTAGAGGTGTACAAGAGAATGAATAACAATTTTAACAAGGTCGGTTTGGATTTTTATGCGTTTTTCTTTTGTTTTGATCGTTCTGGTCTGGGTTTGAGTAATTCATGTAATTAATTAGTAATTAATTTGCAGGTGCTGAGGAACACTGTGATTCCTGAGAAGCCCATGTTTCGACCCGAGTTTCCGCCTCAAGGTTATATTATTTTAATGAAAAATATTACCCTGTTCTGTGTGTCATATACTGATAGTCTGATACGCATAAGCAATTGGAATAATAATGTGAGTGAAACATGTTTAAGAGAAAGTAAGATTAGTTTGAACAAGTGTTTACAAGATATCTATTTGTCTCGTATTTGAATCGAAATTTATGTTGAGAAAACAGATGGAGTTAGAGAAGAGAATGCATGAGGTATTTAAATTTCAACAATTTCAAATTCAGTTGATAAATCGAAACCGAAATAGAAAGGGTAACTGGACGAACACTGTGAACCTGGTTTTCTTGGAGTAATCAAAATGCTGAGGATAAGCCAATTCAAGTAGTTTTTTCTTTTTCTTTTTTAGTATCTTAAAGTAACTGGAAAACACATGCATTAGTAAATTAATGTTAATGTCTGAGATTCTAATGTCAGAGATTTATTGCCAAAATGATCTGATTAACCATACGAAGATATCTTACTTGGTGGAGATGTAGGCAGCACTAGTAGGCAGTAGCGTCAAGTAATCGCATATCAATATGAGAATGCTTTGGGAACATGATGAAATTACTATCATTATTGTCAGTCTTTACAACCGGAATGAGATTAGTCATTAGCCAACCTCAACTCAGTATGTATAGATTCAATATATATAGAAATATTATCTTGTTCCCGCTTCTCACTTCACAAACGCCTGAGGTAACTCTGGAGAAAGAATCTCTTTCGTTTACTTGTTTTGATCTCCCAAAGCTTCAAGGTTGGCAATTGACTCACTAAGATCCAAAGCAATAGAGCTCTCTAGACAGGTTTTGTCTTGTATATTGTAAAATTGATAAACATTTCTAGAGTCAAAAAGATATTCGGAATCAAACCTGTCAAAGGATGTTCATATCTTTGCAACAATTTCAAGCACTTGAGACCCTATTTGAATAGGATTGGAGAAATTCTTGCTCTGCCAATTTAGTTAAAAGAAGTCCAAAGTGAATAAATTTTGGCTTACACCGTGAGGTCAAGATAAGCATTAACAACTGAACTGTGCTTCTTAGTTTATGGATATATGTAGCTATTGATACCAGCAATGTGAATGTTAATATGGCAGAGAAAGAACCTGGTGTAGTTGTTTTGGACGAAGATAAAGAGCCTACCATCCGTTTGGCATCAGCCCTGCAGTGTCTTCCCCCCTATGATTCTTCTCGGCACTGGAATCATGATTCCCCTCCATTCCTTTATTGGACCATCCGTGACTATGCACATGCTTACAGATCTAATCTCACAACTCCATCAATTGTAAGTTTGTTTCCTCTTGAGAGCCATTAGTTCTGATGAATCAGGTGTCATTCAAGGTAACTACTTATTTACAGCTTGCGGAACGTATCATTTCAGCGGTGGAAAAATCCAACAATAGGAAGCCTCCTATGTCATTTCTAGTATCTTTTAATGTGGATGATGTGAGAAAGCAAGCTGCAGCTTCTACACAAAGATTTTCGGAAGGTACTGGCCGTATATATATGTACTTCATGTGAATTGAAAACCAACTTCAGTCCCTATATATGCCCATAGAAGTTTCTTACTCAGAGAATAATCTTCTGGTCATGCTGAGGCGATATATATGTCATGTGCAGGAAACCCTTTATCAATACTAGATGGCATATTTATGGCGATTAAAGATGACACAGACTGCTTCCCTCATTCATCGAAGGGTAAATCCAGAAAATTCTTCTTGGATGAAATTATGAAATGTGAAGCTTATTTAGGTCCACTATGAGTTTCAGGTGGTACCACATGGCTACACAAACTTCGGCCTGTCAAACAAGATGCAGTTTGTGTTTCTAGGCTGCGAAGCTGTGGTGTCATATTTATTGGGAAAGCAAACATGAATGAATTGGGGTTGGGGACAACTGGAAATAATCCAAATTATGGGTAGGATTTTGGAGCTGTATAACTCTTCTTTGAGGTGACATCATTGAGGTCTTTAACTGCTGCTTGCATTTGTTTTACTTCTATTTTTGTTGGGTTTTGGTCTTAGCATGCCCCATTTGAGATGTATGTACCTTTTGTGACTCAGGTTTAATACGTCTCTTTTTTTTTTCTTGGGGCTTCTGATACCCCTACGCAGTCTGTGTTATTACCAGTATATGAAAGTATGGTGGATCCTCCGCCATTATCTTTAAAAAAAACCTGGAATTTCACTCATGTATCGTTTCTGCTATTAAACAAATATCTGTAGCCTGTCAAACTAGATTATTATTTGGATGCAGCATTATTGACTTTTTAAGTAGTTAATGGGAAATCAAGGAGTATAGGTCTACCTGACATTATCATTCTCATTAAATGATTTAGACATAGAAACTGTTCATGTGAGTTTTTCTAATCCATAGTTTTCATAGTGCACTAGACATTGGAAATACAAGAAGTCTAGTTCAAGGGCTGCCTTGTTTGATCTAAACCTTTTTGTCTCTTATGCATATATAAAATGTAAAAGAAAAGTATATCTATTCTAGGTAGTCTACAAAAAGAAGACTTAAAAATATGGATGGTGAAGAAGCCTTTTAGAAGGTACAAATAGGAAAGGTAATATAGAAGTTACAAGAGATCAGGAGAAAGAGAATTTCAAACAAGCAAGTATAAAGGTAAGAGGTAGAAAAAAATGGTGATGAGGGTCTTAGACGTGTGAATTAATTTGTATAAAGGAACATGAAGAATATGCAGGTTGATCATCTAAGTATTGAAGGGTAATAATTCATGCTGACCCGGGAGCTTTATTCCCAATTGTCTGTCCTATGATACATTGATAGCACATGAAATTCTGAACCTATTGATACCAGCGAGCTTCTGCATCAAATTCTAACTCTTTAGGAAACCTAGGTGATCTCTTAACTACTATGGGCTCCTACACAGGTTAATCTAATCTCTCATTTTTTTCATTTGTGTACTATTAGTTAGTAGAATGTATATATATAGGAATGTTAGTAGCTGCATTCTTTTTAATCTGTCATCTTCTCCTTCTGGCCTCTTTCATAGTTTCAGAAATTCTGCATGGTTATCTTGGTTGTGGAAGCTTAAACTCATAAACTATGGGATAGATTTTCCTATGTGCTGACTTTTCAGGATTTATGAGAATCATAATTGTAGTTTTATTGTCAAGATTTTGGCAGCAGTTAGCGTTTGAAATCTGATACTGAAGTATTGTCAATCCCTTCATGGGACTTGTACTCCATATCCAATTCCATCACATTGGGGTGGGGGGTTGGTGGGGGGGTGGGGG